GTATACATACTATACAGTAGCAAACGGTAGCATAATATAAAAGACTCAACGACAGTGTGAGCGAGATGAGGATAAGGAGGTATTAGAAAAAGAAAGGAAAAAAAAACGGTCCCTCGCCATATAATTTTTGAAACACGTGTTCGCTAATCACACATTCTTGTATTTCGGAGTCCGTGACAAATTACCCCCCTTTCCTATATACTGCATAACCTTCTCCCATCCCCTCCTACCCCCGTTCACTGGTCAACCCTAACGCGGGTCGGAGCAGGTCCTTTTAAAGACCTCAATCGCGCCGTTACCAGATTTAACACACACTGGTCTATAGGCCTTTATGACATTATTACTATCATTACAACCCCAATTTATTTTAATATAGTTCCATCGTATTCGTAGTATATTTTGTATCCGTGTAATGCACTTCCCCATCACTCTAAAAACTAATTTAAAACATTTACTAAAGCTACATTTTCTCGCCCTTTTTTTTATCCGATGCGACTCCATTCGTGACTAACACGAATCTCCCAGTTGTAAAGTTGATTAATACTTCAAAGTATAGTCGGATGCATAATTATTTTAGATTATTAAATCGTTATTTTTAATAAATTTATTAAACTCCGAATGTCAACAATGTATACAATAAGACTCGATTCTTATGATAATTGGGTCTTGGCTTTAAAAAATTATCAGCGATAAAACTGGCATATTTTTTTTCACCATAATGTTTTGGGACTTGATGATTTTGGACAGTGGTTAGAAACCTTAGGTAATTTAGATTTATCTACCGCTTTCATTATTAACAGTAAATCTCTACCCATACGCTGTTATGGAAAATTAAAAACTTTGATGATCATTCGCCAAATGTGATTAATAAATATATCATTTGACTACCTTTTAAACCCAAGATACTCGAGGTTTTGGTCTATCGTCATAGAGGAACCATGTCGAGAACGTGGAGTTCACCCCCTCGAATGCTACAGTTGACACGCCCCTCCGGATTAACCGGCCTGATTGTGATAATTGAAAAGTTCCACCTAACGTGTGCGTTTGTTTGTTTGTCCTTTAATAATAATAACATTAGCAACGGACGTCAGCCGATGGAATGGGCGTGTCGCTGATTAGGCCAGTGCAGGTGTACTATATAATAATATAAAATAGGCGGATAAAGCTTCGTTTTGAGCGCGTCTGTAGCGTTTAATTATATTGCAAATTGCAATTGTTTGAAGAATGTCACAAAAGAAATCCGCTTTCAATAATAATAGCAACATAAGGGTCTTGTTACTGATGACAATAATTAGTACTTATAACATTAATACCATTATAGTCGTGCAGGACTCTTGTTAGGTTCAAGACATCATAACGACCCAAGACATTTTAATTTTGTAGAATAAATGTTAGATTTACGGAGAAGGACGTTAAAAAATATGGTAGAAGCTATAAAATTATATACATATATTATACCTATGTATACATTTTTTTTTTTGGAAAACTACCGAAGCAAATTTTGACCGTCTGTCGCGCGTTAGGGTTCTTCCGTGAAAACGCAACCAAAAGTGATCTATCGTCGCACCGAGGCCGTTTCCATTTAATAACCGTAACGTTTGCATTCCAACGTATCCCATAAACTATAACTTGTTTCAACGAATAGACTTGAGAGCGGTGTTAGTGTGTGAACTTAAAAAAAATACAAATCCCCAGTCAAGATCCTAGTCATGAGTGGCCCGCCTTATAGTCCTTAATTATCTGATCACCCATTTTCCAGATTAAAAAACAAAACGTTTTGTTTTTTGCTACATTGGGAAACATAACAATATACTTCATCGAAATTGCATCGAATCAAATATCATATTTTCTAATAAAATAAGTATATAAAATTCAAATAATGTTTTAAAACAGAGGTACCTAGTTGAATAAGGAATATTTTAATTGGATTTACCGAGAGATTCGTTTCATTGTAGTCATTTATTTACTATATGAGATTTCCAATGCTTAAGCATTAACGTTAACGTTTACGTTAAAGCGATGAGTAATATAATGTTGAAAAATACATTTTATATAATATTATGTTTTTCGGAATAGCTTAGATAATGTTGAAGTAGTTCTTTGACTATACTCTTTACAGCCAGTTGCAAATTTTTGTAACAAATTAGTGCATTTCTCAAAAATAAATATTTTCAATACAAATATTTATCAAACCCGAACCACAGTGTTATTGAACTACAAATACTACAAGGCTGGCCTTAACATAATGCACAACATAATGTGTTATAACATAATGCACAACTTAATAAAAATAATAATACAAATGTCGGAGGTGAAAAAACGCTACGTTTGATTATTTACCTAAGTGCTTTTTTTTTTTTGGATTACATCGCGACTACCAAATGAGTATTATTATTATAACCATTTTTTTTTTTGGTTTTTGTTAATTACTCCCAAAACAATATAATGTTCGCTTCCGGTTTGCGAAATGTCGTCATAAACTAAGAATTTTTCGCACCTTGTTTTGCTACTTTTTTTTTTAGTTTTTGGTTTTTTTTATTTTTAATGGTTGTTTTGTCGTTTCCGGTTACAAATGTGTGCGCATGCGCATTAATGCAATACAACACTAGGACATATTATTGTAACTTGTAGATGCCATCACTATAATGTAGTATGGGACACACGCTGTGTATGTTTATAAGTATGACGTTGACGGCGCCGAAACGTCTATAGCGCAGTGGCCAATCCAAAAAAAAAAAAGAGAGTCGATTGCTTAACAACTATAATTAGTAAATACATAAATTGCAAGTAACATTACCCACATTTGCTACTATTGTCTATATGGTTTAGAAAGAATAATATAAGAGATATTTAGAACATGGTATAAAGTTGGAAGTAGTAGTAAGGCTACACGCGGTAGGAATACGATTTAGAGGAAACCCAGAAATGAATGTCTATAAGACGGCGAGGATGATACAATTACGTCTGCTGCATTGTCAGAGACTTTATGTGTGGAAATAAAGTTCGAGACCTAGATCTTAAAGTCGGAAAGAGTCGACGAATAAGTAAAATAACTGCAAACATAAACTGTGTTGGATATTAATTATTATGAGGCTTCTAAAAGACCACCCACACAGCGACGGCATGATGGAGAAAATGTCTGTTTCAGTTGGAGTTGATTTATCAGAAGAATTTGCAATGAATAGCAAAACAAATAAATTCTTACACTTGTGAATTATTACAGGGTTAATAAGTTTGATGTTAAAACATAAAACAACATTTTAAAGTGGAGACAATGAATAGAAATCACAAACCATTTACTTACTCCCACCGAATAAGGGGTAAGTGTATAATATGGTGAATACAGTGTTTATACAATTTTAAGAATTAAAAATACAATTTTTTAGTTTTAAAAGTGAACTAAAACCAAAATCAAAGTCATTATGTAAATTACAAAGACTCGAATTCTAATGATGTCCCAAATAATTGTTATGCAGGAACCACAAATTGCTCAAGGATACTTTAAAAAGGCTCAATCACCTTACATTTTTCCTGACTAGGATTTCCTTAAGAGGTACACCATATAGATAAAGACTCTATCGCCTTCTACAATTGTATAGACAAAGACTCTCTATAACATTTTTAGAAACAACGTCAGGGCTTCTCGTAAAGTATAATTCAATTGTGTCAGGTGGTATTGTTATCATAACAGCTAAATACTAGTACTAGAACATAAAATGTGTACATTGTATTATATAATGATAATAATAATAAATATAGTACAATGATTAGTGCCAAAGTCGCATCCACGTGCGAAAACATTGCTATTGTTATCCACATCACGGCAAAGCGGCTATATTTTTCTTTTTCTAATAAGATTGGCTTTTGTGTTTACCAAAATTAGGGTATATTATTTTAAGCAACGTTGACCTCGATTGGGTGATCCGGTTTCGGATATTGAAATAATTAAAGCTGATCAGTATAGAACAATAATTTCTATTGTTTTTTTCTAATTCCCGTTTATTGTTGTTGCTCGGACTTAGCCGCAGTGACGCGAGTTATTTTCTATTATTGGTTGGGACGCAGAGAAAACAACATGACCGCCCAATGCACTTTGCAATATGCACAAAAAGAAACAAATAATAATAATAATAATAAAAATCGTTTCCAGCAAACGTACAAAATCGATTCCGTATTGTTTACGGATATCATGACCGTTTGTGAAAACAAAAAATATTTTTATTTTACTCTCATCCGTCGGCAAGTGCACAGTGGTATCGGGTTCAAGCACACCGAGCCTGTGTTGTAAATTATTATAACAGTTCAGATTTCCTATTACATTGTATATGCGTGTAGCTAAATATTGTGAAAATTGCACCAGCCCATAGCATAGGCCTCGACCATGGGATCGAATGCATCGCAATGGATAGTGCACAGTACATGTGCATTTCCATATCAAGGTCACCCCTCTCTTCGCCCGACCACTGATGGCCGTTTTGGATGTTTATCAAATAATATATGGTAAAAAAAATTCATCGAGTACAAATTATTGTTATTGTTGTATATTATTATCAACGTACTATTGACTTTTATTTTGTCGACTGTTTTATTATTTGTGCCAACCCACATAAATGGAAACGCGGTCAAAAAGTAATTGAACAACACACATATATTACAATAATATTATGTTTCGCTTTCGGCGCAATAACGTTGCAAATTACTTCCAACAACCTTTCTTTTTTCTTCAACGCAATTGGACTTGAAGTTTCGTAAACGGATTATCGTTTGGTTGTAAAAAACCTACGAGAGGATAGGACTTTTTGAAACTAGGATTTTATAATCATTCACGCGACCTATCCATACCGAAACCTTCCTTATATCTTGTCTTCCTCAATTCGTTTATCTCAAACCCTGCATAACTTTTTATTCTCACGTCTCGTTATAGGATTTACCCACAAGAATCTTTTTTTGAAATACAAGCGCAGACTCTGCTTAAGTTATACGTTTTAATTCTTACTGACCTGTGTTGTTGCGGCGTCCGATCTCGCTGCCGGCGGTTTTTGAACCAATTGCTGACCTGCGTGAGGGTAAGGCCCGTCCGCCTGGCCAAGTCCCGTTTCTCGTCGGGAGTCGGATACCTGTTCTTTAGGTAACAGTCTTTGAGCGCGTTTCTCGACTTTTCCTTGAAACAGTACACGGTCTCCTCGCCGTCCCATATGGTCTTGGGCAGCGGATACTTCTTGCGCAACCGATACTTGTCAACAGCGCCCAACGACCGGCCACGGATCTTCTCGGCTTCCAAGTAATGCGCCTTGAACCACAACTGCTGAAGCTGCACATGGTGTCTGGGATCAAAGCTTTGGCTCTCTAAAATCGCGTAAAGCTCGCGAAAAGCGCTCCTGCAAACAACATTCAAGTCCATTAGAATTTAATATATATTATACTCGAAACAATTCTTATAATAATAGAATTCTTTTTTTACGTTAAAGTTGCAATGAGTTCTTAAATGATTAGGCCGTACCACCCGTTTTGCAAAATCTTAATTTAGAGCATTGACTATATATAATGTATACTTATGAATACAGTAATGATGGTTCTTTAATGGTTGTTATTTTTTTTTGTCTGACTATCAGAGTCATTTAGGATCTATAGCATAAATTACGATTTTTTCCCCATCAAAACTGATTTGCTAGAGACAAATTTGTGAGGATAGATTCACAGCATAATTACAACATGGTCACAATATATAGAAGAGAACTTTCTCTGTTTCGTAGCGTTTTTATTTTATTTTTTTCTATAAATACTCTAATTCTTTATAAAAAATGAAAAATTGATGATTGATCTACTCGAGCTACTAAAGCTCAATTTTTAAAAAGCAACCTAAGTTTTAAATGTTTTTAATAGTTTTCCGGCGGCTCCTGCTTAACCCTTTGTTAGTGTGTGTTGCCTGGAAATATTTATAAATCTCTTGTCACGTGGTTTTCAATAAACTTATTTGCGCCACTGGGGTTTAATAAACCCCAACACACGGGGTGAATGTACTTAAATCGAGAGCGTCCTAATTAAGAAGTTTTATCATCTTTTACTTATAACGTTACTTAGGGGGTTGGAGTTCGAATTCAGTCTTAGTAAGGTATAGTACAGGCTTTTAACACAAATTAGAAGGACATTTGTACAATGCTTCCTTTTGACGAACTTATATATAAGTCATAATGACTTAACCAGTTTCAAGAGTAATTTATACGCCTTCTCAATGAACGCCCACCGTCATTTATATAAAGAATGGAATTCACACACGGATCAGCAATACTCTATCAATTAAACCGTCGAAAATACAGTTCATTTGTTTGTGTAAACAAAAAATAAATTAAACAGTTCAATATAACATAATACAGTGAAAAAATGAATTATTGTTGTTTATCGTGCTACCTAGTTGACGTATGTACCTATGTGTATCCGTGTATTATGATTAATTTACACGATCCGCAGCCAAGGCCTAAAGACAATAATTTGCTTTTGGAGGTTTTTAACCTCATCCGCGCTGAGCGTATACCGATCACTAATGTGGATCATATTTCAAGCCAAAACATAACACCACCTAACCGTCGTTTTGACCATGACTGAGTGTTTATCTAAATTATTATTCATTAACAAAACCGAAAACGATACGTCCACGCTACTTAGTGACATACCTACATACTATCATTATAATACTAGATACCGTAAAATAGTAAAAGATGGGAAATCTAGACTGTTAATGATTGTTTCTTAATTTGCCAACTATTCGAATGATGTTGATGAGCACCAATGCAATTTGTATCAGCATATACGAAACAATTAATTAAGGATAATACGCTCATTTTCTCTTTTAAAAAATTAAATTTTGAAGATTTCCGTTTTGGAAACACTTTTTTATTTATGTTATTTTATAATAATAAACGTTATTCAAATGTTTAACTTTTCATTTTTTTTTCAAAGCTTTATCCACTTTTAAAACCCAAAAGGTATTTTTAATTTAAGAATAATTTGCTGAAAATGTTGACCGGTCGATAACTAGTATTAAAGTTAAGAACGAGAAGTGGATAGCGGTAGAGTTGCAAATTATTCTTAGTCTAAAAAACGAATTAAACGCATACGTTACCATTAAAGTTGCAATAGTTGATAGAGCTCTAAAAATACCACAAGAGGTATAGATATCTTTATTAATTTTATAATACTGTAAAATAAGTAATAACAAAGGCAAAATATTTAAAAAAAAAAACAAAAAAATTGCCATTATTAAAAAATAAAACGAGCGTTTTATCGTTAATGAATCACACTGTACACGAACGAGGCTGATTTAAAATTATATTTTGTACAGTTAGGTTTTATATTATGTTCCTATATATATTTCTTTATCTGTTAGCCGTTTTATTTCCCTCTCTGGAATTCCGTTCTTTTGTAAACAAAAAAAAATCTTGTTCGGAGGGGTTGTTTTGTATAGTTGTATTTATTTATATATTTTAATATGAAAATCGTTATCCTGTTCCAGGTTTTTTTGTCGTGTACCGCGCAGTCGTCCAATGGCGTCATAAGTACCGATTTGCCATGTTATTTTTTACATAATCCCTTTTGTCTGGTGTGCATACATAGAATCTTTATATTATGTATCTTCCTCCGTATCCATCTTGTATAACCGTTAGTCGCTACAATCGTATTATACAAATGGAATAATAAATGTTTATTAAATAATTTTAAATTATGCGTGTCCTTCGAAAAACTTAAATGGCTGTGAAAATTAGCACATGTTTTATTCTATAATATTTCCAACAAAATATTATATCTTAATATAGTGGAAGAACCGAGGTCAGCATAATTGAATAAGCGATAACTGTCATTATTCAAAATGATCAGTCGATATCATTTGATTAGTTAAAATTAAAATTGCTTTTGTAAAAATATAATTCGACCATACCTAATATTGTGTAATTATTGTTTCGTTTTATGTATAACTACGTTCAATATTATAACATTATTATCGTCACTGAATAAAGACCTACGTGCAATAATAAGGTGATGGCCTAACAACTTGGTTGACCGCCAAAAAAACCGTTTACCTCAGCATAAAATTAAAAAAAAATACAAACAAACGTGAGAAATAATATTTGAAGAAAAAAAATTCCGCTACGTCCGTTAGGTAAATAAATATATACTGCTATAACGTTTGCAGGACTATTTGGCTTAACCGGGCATTTCCGTTGATTGAAAAAAAAATAATACTAACCAATTATAAATCACTATGCGCTTGCTGTTTTCTTTCTTTTTTCATAGTTTTGCATGATTCTATTTTTTTTATGTATTTAACAGATAACTTTAATAATGAAGAAAGCCATCTTCTATATTAACAGGTGTGCACCACGTGCGATGTGCATTTACATTATTTTTGGTCGTTATACATTTTTTATTTTTGAAGCTTTTAAAAATGTGCAATTATTGTATTAGATTCATTTCAAAACTCGCGTCGAAACTATAAGTAATTCCAAATTTTAGTTAATTTTTTGAGAAAAAGATTTTGTCTTAAGTTCAATTAATCATTTTATTCTCTTGTTTTCATATAATGTGCTTTCTTATTATTTTGACCCGACGCTCTAATTGTAAATGTTTTTCGAAAAGATCTAGATATTTCTATAGATCTATCTACTACTGAGTTAAGCAACAAAACTGTTATGTCAATAGATAAATAATTACTGTTGGTTATATGTATTGTGTATATTAATTTGATCAGTGCTTGGACAAGATTCTAGATTGGACGGATAGTAACTTAATCCACGCGCGCTGCCCTCGTCCCTCGTGGACAGAGTTAAGTGGTAAGATTTGACAACGACAAAGTTCGAATGTAGATTAAGTTCATATAGTTAACTAGAATATGAATTAAGAATCGATGGGGTGTTTATGTGTTATTTGATTATTAAATTATTCCAGTCAATAAAAAGTATATTGATAATTTTAATATATAATAGTATAATTTATTTTAATAATAATAATTATAATATACTTTAATAGATATTAAATAATCACCGAAGAAATTACTGTTCCAGGTCGCTTGTACTAGAACCTCAATCGGTTTTTACAGCTGAGGTAAACGTGCACTATGAATATTTTAATACAAATTAAACAAATTTTGTTTAATGAACACTAGGACATAAGTTACAGCAATTAAAGTAAAATAGAGAAATTTGTAGAGCATAAAACTAAATTTGTTCTCCCAAGAGTATTGGAAACAACAATAGAGGAACCTTTGCATTTTTCCAGGTCAAACTAATCGTTTCGCTAAATCTATTAATTCTTAACATTTTTATGAGTCGTTTTATGAATGAATTTTGCTCATTCGGTTAACTCTTAAAACATTTGGTTTAAAAAATCGAATATATTTTATATTAACGTAACGTATTAACCTTTAACTTGTAATTTAACTGGTAATTGATAAGTAGACACACTAAATTAATAAAACCCTAAGTCACCGGTTACTTATTAACATGATCAAGGGGTGAAACCCCTTTTTTATTAACATTCTGTTTGGCATAACTCATAAGTCATATTATGTTTTTCAGTGAAATACACTAAATTAAATTAGGTGTAATGTTTATAGTTTATGCTCGAGGAAAATAAAAATAATATAAACTAAACATTGAGTTCTACACGGAAAAAAATACATAGCTGGTCCAACTAAAATTATGGTTAATATAGGGACACAATACATTTCTAGTGGGAATAGCTAAATGTTTAGTTGGCTGAACTAAATGTATAGTTGCTTCAACTAAAAATTTAGTTAGGCCAACTATTTATTTAGTTATTCCAACTAGAAATTTATTGTGTCCCTATATTAACATAATTTTAGTTGGACCAAACCAACTATGTATTTTTTTCCGTGTATGTGGTATACAAATTAAATTCTTGTATTACTCCAATGACTGACATGTAAAACCCATTGCCACTACTATCTATCATTAGGTATGGTTATTACATAATATATGGACGCATCTGAAAGGTAGGGCAAATGTATGTTCTGTTTGACTTGAATTATTTTTAAATGAAACGTTGTTAGCAAATTAAACCTAACCTAACGGGAGGTCAGTGGCTATAATGTTTTATCAAAAAGAGACTGACAAACATTTATTTCCTCATATTAATTTTCTTTATGTATGTTTAATCTTCCCGCTATGGGTGTTAATCTACATATAGTGAACATGCGGAGTTCACCCTTGAAAATACATCACCGGAAAAATAGGGCTTCTAGACCTAACCTTATGCCAATTTATTCACGCTTGGATGTAAGCACGGGTTGAATAACTTACAGTGGCTTTATCGGTATCAACTGGTTTCATTAGAAATACAATATAGTTTTTAACATTTAAGTAATGGATATAAAAGTAAATGATTAAAGTTTTAGAAAAAACAATGTCTAAGAAATTTACCTGTGGAAGGCTACAAGTGCTCTAGCCCGGAGAACGGCCTCTTGGTCGCGCAGAGACTCGCTGGGCGGCAGGTACCAGAGGAACCTGGCTAGCCTGTCCACGTCGCCGGACTGCTGAAGGGCTTCGCACATGCACGATATTTGTTCGGACGAGAACGGCAGGTTGCGCTTCGCTTGCAAAAAGTCGGAAACTGTCACTGTTCCACTGCCACCAACACTGGACGCGGAACTCTCGCTGAGCACTTCCATGCAGCTGCTGGGAGACAGGCTGACGCTGCCGTTCATGTCACTGGGTGACAGGTACGAAGACATGGCGGGTCCAAACTCAAACGGACACCAGAGTCATGTTCTTAAAACGGAACAAAAAAATGACACTTTCGACAAAAACGCAGACGGCTCTGGCTTGCGGGCTTCTTATAATATAAGTACAATAAAAATGGTTAAAAAAAAAACGATTTTTGAGTAAAGCCGAGAACGCGCGGTAACTTCAACAGCGGTTTTGGAGATTATGGCCAGCGCCTGTATTGGGTGCCGTGCGAACACTGACACGGTGGGCAGTGGCGGACGCGCACGGCGGCCACGCGGTAGGAGGGCCTGGCACGGTTGGTCGCGCCCCCCTCGTAAATCCGGCACGCTGCCATTGGTCCGCCGTTTGGCACGGGGTGAGTGGCACGCGTTGGCGGCGGCCGCGAGAGGCTTTCACGACTTTTTTTCACAACTTTCGATGGTCTTCAGTAGGTTTGGGTGATTTTTTTGTTAGCTTTTTTTTGTCTGTAACGTAGATTCAAATAAATTGGTACATTACCGTACATACCTATATTGCCCAGGTCAAATATTGTAACGCAGTCATGTACTTGAAATATTTGTACTTCAAATACAATTTGTAATTTAGTTTGGAGATAACATTACCAAACGAGTTAAACGTAACAGAGGTATTTTTTAATCGCGCCGTTGGAAAATCCCTCAATATTCAATTAACCTACTCATCATTCCAATTTCCATGTCACACGATTCCCTTTTAATCTTCCATATTATTATACTCAAATGAACCTAATCGATAGTCAAAATACAATGCCAAAACTGAAGATTTATGTTTGATTTCTTTAAGTATTTACCTACCATAGGCGTAACTATGTCTCTGCACTAGGGGAGGGGGGGGGCTAGAGCCCTAGCTGTTTTTTTTTCTCATAACATTTCCGAGTACCCCTGAAAACGACCTTCCACAACACACACTGCTAATAGGTTATACAAATTAGGAATTACCGGTTCCTCAACGAAGCCTTTGAGGTGGATTAAATGTTCTTCACTAAAATATAAACGAGCATTATAACAATTATTCATACAATTTTTTAAATTAGGTTTCTTAAATTGTAACATTTACGTTATAATGGTTTACGAAGTATTTACTATTTTCTAAATCGAGGTTTATGAAACTGTCTAAGATGTAGCTAATTGTAAGCTTTCAGAAAAAAACCGATTTTTCCTACACGCAATTACGCAGTCAATTACAGCAAAGTAAGCTTTCTGCTGCCAATACGTTTGAATTGAATGGTTATTAGTTCTATAACTACTCAAATTCATGATATTCTGCGCTGGTTGCTGTAGTTGCAATAAAATAATTTAATGCAACAGACTCTTGTCGTTTTCTTTTTGACACTAAAACAGAATGTTTATGTTAAACTAAAATTAAAAATTAAAAATTAAATATTTACATCAACAGTTTACAAAATAAAAAGGTACACTTCAGTCTAGCTGGAATTTCTAACTCTATATTATTTTTACATGAAAATTTACTATATCGCTCCAAAGACTTTAAAAAGACTCTACTATCTTTAAATGTTTTGATGGCACTACTACTATTATTAGAAGCTTGTCCTATAGTCTCACCCGACTTCTGTAATTTATTGCTTAAAATGTTTGTAATCCTTAGTATATAATTTATGATATGCAGATGCACAATAAAAAAGTAATTTTTTCTTGTTTTTTCTTGTAAGACAAGCACTCAACATTGTAAATAACAGCCTTAACATTTTTAAAACGGTACACCCATCTAGTATCGCTGATTCCAGTGAGAGTAATATTTTTCTTCAATAATTATTTATGTACATTTCTCAATTGTTTAACCATTAACCAGCAACCACTATTTGTTTCTGGTTTTACAAACAACAAATTTGTGTTACAAAATATAAATTTTTATCAAAACCTATTTTATTTTACGAAAACAATTTTTTCTGAAGTTTGTAGAAAATACCGTACATTTTAATGTCGTCAGACAGCCTTTTTGTGGGGCTAAATTGATAATTGGAGACTGGATGACTAGCCCCCTAGTTACGCCTATGTTACCTAGTTCGAGTATTTTTTTTGTTTGGCGGATGACCACTGTACAGTGAGTCATTTCAAAAACATATTGACAGAGCTGATTTAAATTTAGGTGACCTATAATAAGTAAACAGCTATATAGATATTATATTGATTTTTGACAGTAAGCCATTAAACAGAAATGCGTTACAAAAATCACATAGGTACAAAAGTACGGTTTATTAATAATATCACAAGGTTGCAATTCTTTTTTTTTTTATATTCATTGCCATCTTTTTTAAGGGCACGTGGAGCATGAGCCCAGGGCTTCCGGCCTGATGGTGGCCCCGAATAATACAATTTCCATCTTTAAGTTTTTTTTTTTTGGTTTTCACAAAGAGCCCCTAAATTGTGTGCCCAAGGGCTCCTGCATAGCCTAAGAGAGTCCTGTTTATATTTTAACAGTGATATTGTATTTTTTGTTTTTGTTAATTTTTACCTGTAGATACCTAGTTTTTAGTTTATTTTGGTATACCTACCTATCTAATCACGTACTCAAATCCTTGGCCAAGGGAGAACATATTCTAAATACATACTTGAAAATTGTAATTATTTTATTAAGGACATAACAACATTTATCATGTATGGTAAAAATAAATTATTTAGAAAAATCAAAGTTGTTTTTTTGCTGTAGGCCAAATTATCTTTTAGCTTCGATGCGGATACGAGGTGTTTATTTTACATTTACATGGTTGTTTATAAATTACTAGAACGATAAAAATCATACAGACTATTTACGTTATCGGTTTTCTTATAGAGTTAACTAGGCGTTTTTAAAACTGTTAAAATCGGTTTTCCTATGAACCGTTTAGCACCGACAGTTTCTTCTGTTATCTTTTCTTTGTCTGCCTCAATAACAGCTGTTATTAGTAAACAGCGAAATTGACAGGATCATATAGTGTATCTAAAGTCAATGCCCCTTTCATCGAGGTTGTTTGCTGACAATCCGTGTTTACGCAAAGAAGTCATTAACACTTTATCTGTGAATTAAAAGAGCGCGAGTGAGAGTGAGAGAGAGAGTATGGGAGAGAAAAACACCTATACCTATTATTATTATGAGATAAAACGTCACCATTAGAATTTTGTGCCGATCAAGACTTATATATTCCCAGCCGGGGCACGTGGTGCTACTAGTGTTTGCACGGATCAATCCGGAGATTCAGCTTAAAACCCGCTTCTGTGTGTAGTTGGGTTGTGATTATAATAATAATACTACTATTTTTTTAATATAAACATTATAATACTATTATGCGAAGCATAGCGGACAAAGCATTTGTATTCACTACCTTTCACGCACGGTACCTATGAGAATTTAGTCATTTGACAACTAACTCAGTATTAACATCTGATCAAGTACACAAGGCCAATAAGTTCTACTCAAACTTTTTAAGACTTTTCCCGAATATAAATACTATTAAACTACACATTTTTCAAACTATTGTGCCGGACTATTATTGTGCCCTTTTCAAGATAACTAGTTCGATTATGATCAATGTTTGAGGAAATTTAGTTGAAGGATGCGGTTTTCGGTCTTTCAAAAACTGAACCAGTTATACCCCGTGGCGACAATCGTAACGGTTTAGCCGTACAACTGTTTCTCGGTCAAATTGTCTTTTGATGTTTTGCATGCCCAAATGTGACAGTATAGTATATTATATACTTATACTATTAATGACGGTTATAACATTGGATTGTATCGGGTACGGGTAACCAAACGAACGCGAAGGAGGTTAACGGATGAGGGAGGCGTGTTTTTCAATGGTCCTACACAACACCTTAACTTGTCGAGGGGAAGAGATCGCAGGGGGAGGATCGTTCCGATTTGGGAGAGGAGGTGCTCGCATTTTCATCCCTTGTCGTCACCGGTGGCGCCGTCATCCTTGTAATCCGAACCGCCCAAGGGTGTCATTCTACCTGTTCGTCTTCATTGTTTATAACGAGCTCCCTTATGTACAAGTTGCTGCGCGCTTTTTACATAACACTGCGGGTGTACCTTCTTGCTATTCTCTAACGTTCACTTCCTCTATATTATGTGTGTATACCGACAGCCGTCTCCCTCCCAAGTCCCTGTCAGCTCGAGTCTTCTGGCTTTGTTTTGCGCAGCTTTCGATCCCTCCGTTACCGGATTAACGCCCCCACGAGTGGTATAGGTACTTGCTATGTATACGATTATACAGGATAATATATATTTATATATAATATGTACTAAAGGTATACTCGAGCAAGCTATCCAATTATTTTTGGTATTCACATTTTACATAGTTGTTTTTTTTCTTTTCCTATGTTTTATTTATATTACCCTTCTCCATATTCATACTACCCTTATTTCGTACAAACCAGTCCCTCAAGGACATATAATACAAAGTTTATAGCTCCGAAGTCTCAATAAAAATGTGTGATATTTGATTTCAAAATATCTTATGGATCGTCGATTTATAACTTTTTGAATAGATTTACATTTTAAAAAAATAACTCAAAGTGAATATTTTTAAATAAATATATTAATTACAGTTTTTCTTATAACTTTTAACTATACTATAGTATAATAGTCTAAGCAAATTTTAACGGTAGTTAATTTATACAAATGAAAAGTGAAAAGAAAAAATATATATATTTGGATTTTTCGGGGTTGATGTTCGGGTCTAAAAATGTTTATGTATTATTCCGGATTTTGTTGAGGTTACCCGGTTTTGTGCTCGGTTTGACTTCCTGATAAGTATGTAGCAGGTCATTTATAAAGATCAATATAATATAGTATAATAATATAGTGGCGTTTATGTATCGATTTTTTTCTCTCATCTTGGTCAGTATGAAAAAGATATATTTTATCATTTAAACGTCTATTATACCGAGTACACATAAAATATTATTGTACAATCGTTGAATAATTAAAAAATAAATATGTTATTTTCCCAGACCTACAATACCCCTACTACGCCGTTTGTAGTGTATTTCGCAGCAATTGTAATACTTTTCGTAATCATGAATAATAATAATAATAATATTAATATAACGTTAGACGATTTTTCGGTCGGACGTTGCCCTGTAAAAGGATAGTTCAGCAACATCTCGGCGTGGCGCCCGCAACAGCATATTTTTCGCAGAAATACTGTTATTGTGATAAATAACATGATATTCATAGGTGCAATACTGCAGAGTATAGCGAAAAT